GGTGACATTTAACATTGCGTCTCACTAATTAAAATTTGCGTGTTTAATAGTGTTTATCAAAGAAAGCAAAAATATATACAAGACAATCTCACATGTGGAGTTTTTTCACTTACAGTACGTACTGCCTTGTGATGCAGTACAAGTATAAATAAAAATGACAAAGCATTTGTAAATCCTAAAACATAATTAAATCATACGGCACATTTAAGATTTTAATATCGTATTTCAGCCGCGTTTATACTGTTGGGCGCATTCGCTGCGTTATATTCATTTACATGTATATACACAGAAAAGCATGTCATTGTCCTTGCAGACCATAGGCAAAAAGCATTTGTCAACCATGCACATACAAAATTTAAGCAATCGTTAAATCATATACATGTCATGGAAAGAATATGGAAATAATGTTGAATGAAAGCTAGCATCGCGTATATTAAAAGCACCGCATATAGTGCTCGAACCACTGCGTATAATTGCAAAAGCATCGCGTATATAAATGGTGAAAGCACCGCGTATAATACTGGAACCACCGCGTATAATGGCGAAAGCACCGTGTATAATGCCAAAAGCACCGTGTATAATGCCAAAAGCACCGCCGTATAATGCTAAAAGCACCCAACAAAATGCCGTTTGATCACTTTAAGCCAGCTATGGCTTTCCATAAAAGAAGACCAAAGATGAAACATGATCACATTGCCTGTTTGCCTTATGCCTGACCGCGCTGCACCACGGTTAAAATTCACTGGTACCGTCATGCAATGCGCCAAATAGAAAATTTTGATATCGACCCACAAAACAAAATTAGGATCTGCTGCCTTGCTCGCTCGCTTCAGGCTCGCTCGCTGCGGCAGCAATAATAATTAAATCATACGGCACATTCAAGATTTTAATATCGTATTTCAGCCGCGTTTATACTGCTTGGCGCGCATTCGCTGCGTTATATTAATTTATATACCTATGTTATATACACATACTTATTACTAATAAATCAACACTATATGATAATATATAAGAACTCACAAAGTGCAGTCACCTTTTTATAAATAAACCTTTTTAAAAGCATGTCATTGTCATTGCAGACGTGAGACCAGAGGCAAAAAGCACAGCCACATAGGCCTACCAGATTTATTAAGCAATCGTGAGATTATATACATGGAAGAATATGGAAATTATGTTAAAAGCACCCCGTATAATGACGAAAGCACGAGCACCGCGTATAATGCTCGAACCACTGCGTATAATGGCGAACGCACCGCGTATAATGGCGAAAGCACCACGTATAATGCTCGAACCACTGCGTATAATAGCGAAACCACCGCGTATAACGCTCGAACCACTGCGTATCGACAAAATGCCGTTTGATCACTTACGCCAGCTGTGGCTTTCCATAAAAGAAAACCAAAGATGAAAGATGATCACATTGCTTGTTTGCCTTATGCCTGTTTATTAGGCAAGAATAGCCTGCCGGCCCGGAAGCAGTGCATTGTGGTAGGCCGAAATATGCCGAAACGATCGAGATTTCATCTGCCTTATATATATATATATATATATATATATATATATATATATATATATATATATATATATATATATATATATATTAAAATCTCAATTGTCCCTGTTCGAAGAAAGCTTAGGTATACTTTATACTCACCATATTTTTGTTTATTATAAATTTATTATATTTAAACACGCATTTAGACTGTTCTAGAATGTAAAGTAACAAACAAAATACACACATCTGTTACATGTATCACAAAGTTTTCTTCGGCGAGTCGAATCAAAAATTTTAAAGCACCTTTCAAAGTCATTTTCATAGGATTTGGAAGGAGAAATACGTCTGGAAGTTCCAGTTTTACAAACAAGATATATCTTTACTTTTGTCCATAAACAAAATAAAACAACCATAAATAGAAACGAAATAAACACAATGAAAGAAATAAAAAAGTCTACAAAACGAAAACAAATCTGTATTTACGCGCATCACTGCTGACCAATCCAACAAAAAATACGGGCTCAAGTTTTCTTTAGATTGGCGCTTGAAACACTCGTGATGTGTGCCGGCATGCCAAAATGCGGTAAACGAGGTAGTGCAATAGTGTAATAACCAGTAAAGTCTATTGCACAGAACTTGTACACTTCTAGTAAATTCAATAAGGCTAATTTATATGGACACTTGTTGCGAAAGAGTGGGAAATGATTCGAGATCAATTACGCATTCTATATGTATTGTTTGTATGGGTAAACCAACAGGATTCGTATGGGAATTCCGCAACTAACTTCTTTAGAAAGCAATATAAAACCTGCAATTATTACGTTTCCCCGTATTTATAAACAAAACGCTACCTGAATATCGGATTTTGTCTTATAACATACTTTACCACCATCTGTCGTGTCATTCGAAGGATGTGATGATTCAACGGCTCTCCAATAATCCGTTCCCCTCTGCTCACTTTGATGGGTACTGGAGCCTGCCGTCAAAATTCGGCTGATTCCAAAGTCTGCCAGCAACCAGTTACCATGGACGTCTCGCAAGATGTTAGATGGTTTCAAATCACGATGTAAGATGGGGTTTGGTTCTCGGTGGAGATCAGCCAATCCTTTCAAAACTTGCTGAATTATATCTGGTGCGTTGGTCGAAAGATCGTCCAAACTGCTACGATCAACAAATTGTTTCAAAGTTTCCTCGCATAAATCCAGAATTAAAAATAACCAGTCCTTATCGCTCTCGTCGTCTAAAAACCAATAACGTACCACATTGTTTGACTGGGTTGTGTTAGTTTCATTCAAAACTTTCTTTTCCTGTTCAGCAAAGCAAACACAGAAATCTCTAGGCAAACGTTTTACAGCCCTCTCGTATCCATCTTTCCCCAATCCTACATAGACTCGAGTGCCATCACTTCCCTTGCCAATGAAAAACACCTGCGAACAACAAAAGCGGACACCGTTTACCTCCTTGATTTCCTCTGGATGACTTTTTCCATATTCTTGCAACCTAATCAATTTTTCGCGATGAACTACCGAATTCTCTTCCCATTTCCATCCTTCTGGGCTTTCTAAATAATAGAAAAAGAGACCAATACCTTAAAAAATCCAGCTCGTTTTTTCCAACAATTTCTAAGTTGATTTGATAAACTACTTTGACAGCTCATTCATGCATTCACAGACAATTAACTAAAAGGCTAAACCTAAGTACTGATTTTACAACTTCAGATTCGGTATATTAAAATCTCTTCTCAGCTGGTCTTTTTTACCTTCATTTTCGTAAGAACATCCCATGACCGACAATTGGTCGGCCGAATTTCCTGTTTCGTCACTCACAATTTCGTTTACGATGTGTTTGTGGTCACTATTATTACCATTCTCACAATGAATGTTCAGCACTTGAGGAACATCTGACGTATTAGATGTTTGAAGATTTTGATTGCTTTCATTATGTGTATCTACATGTAAAGGTTAAAAATACAATTATCCATAGTACGCGGAATACAACTGCTACTTATAAAGAAAGTCTTTGTTTGATGTTGAAATGTATCTCATCGTGTACAAATCCTTTGTCTCTACTTCATTAAATTAAATATTATGCATCATTAAATATTATTCATCATAGTAGCATGTTTCACCATGTTGGACAACTACAAAAAATGAGTTTAATCACCGTGACCGTGCACAAATTAGCATAAACTCAGACGAAAACATAACATAATGCTCAGAATTACTTTTTTGATATACAGTATTATGGCTAAGGCAACCAGATTATGAAATTCACTGACTATAATTTTCTGAATAAATTAAAGCCAATGCAATGTTCCTGATGAACTTTAAATACTTGATTATCACACTTTAAATATCTTTATCTAAACTGGCGATGGAAAGCTGAAGATAAGGTTGCTTACATTACGGAAATTATCCAGATTTATAAACAACGCCTGCGCGTGGTGAGAGTATTTTATCAGAAAGAACACCCAAATAAATCACAACAAAATAGATATATCACAACAAAATAGATATATCACAACAAAATAGATATATCACAACAAAACAGATATATCACAACAAAATATAACCCGAGAGACTCTGAGAAAGCCAGGGACGTGCTGTGCTGGCTTCTTAATTAAAAAGGAGAACGAATGAGCAACGTGTGAAGGGACACAGGCGATGGCACAATATTAATACTTTTTCCAAACATTCTTGGCGAGTGATGTGGGGGTGGGGGTGTGGGGTCGAGGTCGCCAATTTTTTTCGGACATTCAAAAATTTTTCCGGACATATGTTAATTTTTCATACAATACAAAAAAAAAATTCCTGACATATCGCAATTTTTTCTGAAATCCAAAAAATGTTTTTCGGACATATCGTATTTTTTTCCTCCCACATACAAAAATTTTTCAGTAATCTTTTCGTAAATTTTTATTTTTACAATGTAAATTGTAATATCTTAATCTTGATTTTGAACTTTAAAATCTATATTTTTTATCTTACCCAATGTTTTCATTTTAGTGGTCCATTATGGTAGTGGCCACAACGAGTACTCTTCGTCTCGTCCCTAGCCAGCACGTCCCTGAAGAAAGCAACGGACAAGGATGCTATACCTTACCGATAATCTTTGACATTTCTTTCATCGTATTTTCTGCCGTCGTTTCATCATTTCTATCTCCTGCTCCCTCTGCAATTTCGGACGCTTGTTTTTCAGTTTGTGTATATTTTGCACCGTCTAAGCCTTCTTTAAAGCGTTCAGTTACCGTTTGAAACTGATTGTTCTCTCTAAAAGCCTCCCCTAACCCAGATAATGCCCGTCTCTCCTGTCGCTTATATCCATGCTCCTTTCCAATTTGCAAAGCTTTATTATAGTGTTCAACTGCTGCTTGAAATTTATTATTCGCTCGATAAGCATCCCCTAACTGAACTAATACGTCTGCTTCCTGTTGTTTGTCTTCATGCTTCTTTACGATTCTCAAACCTTTCTCATAGTATTCAACAGCCGTTTCAAACTGATTGTTCACTATATATGCATCTCCTAACCCAATTAATCCCTCTGCTTCCTGTTGTCTATATTCATGCCGCATTGCAATTTCCAAAGCTTTTTCATAGTGTTCAATTGCCATTTGAAACTGATCGTTCTCTCTATAGGCATCTCCTAACTGAACAAATGCCTCTGCTTCCAGTTGTTTATATTCATGCTCCTTTGCAATTCCCAAAGCATTCTCATAGTGTTCAATAGCCTTGTGAAGCTGATTGTTCCCATCATACGCATCTCCTAACCCAAGTAATACCTGTGTTTCTTGGTATTTATCTTGCGGTTCATGCTTCTTAGCAATTTCCAAAGCTTTCTCATAGTGTTTAATTGCCATTTGAAACTGATTGTTTTCTCTATAAGCATGTCCTAACCAAACTAATGCCTGCCTTTCCTGTTGATTATACCCATGCTCCTTTGCAATTTTCAAAGCTTTCTTATAATGTTCAATCGCCGTTTGAAACTGATTCTTAACTCTATACGTATCTCCTAATCCAACTAATGCCTCTGTTTCCCGTTGTTTATATTCATGTGGCCTTGCAATTTGCAAAGCCTTCTCATAGTGTTCAATTGCCATTTGAAACTGATAGCTCATTCTATACGCATCTCCTAAACCAACAAATGCCTCCGTTTCCTGTTGTTTATACTCATGCTCCTTTGCAATTTCTAATGCTTTCTTATAGTGTTCAATAGCCTCTTGAAACAAATTCTGAACTCTATACGTATCTCCTAATTCAACTAATGCCTCTGTTTCCTGTTGTTTATATTCATGTAGCCTTGCAATTTCCACAGCATTCGTATAGTGTTCAATCGCTGTTTCAAACTGATTGTTCCTTCTATACGCACATCCTAGCCCAACTAATGCCAGTGTTTCCAGATGTTTATATTCATACTCCTTTGTAAATTCCAAAGCTTTGTCATAGTATTTAATTGCTGTTTCAAACTGATTGTTCCCTCTGCACACGCCTCCTAACCTAATTAATGCCACTGTTTCCACTTGCTTATATCCATACTCCTTTGTAATTCCCAACGCTTTCTCATACTGTTCAGTTGCCGTTCGAAACTGATCGTTCCCGCTATATGCATCTCCCAACCCAAGCAATACCTGTGTTTCTTTGTATTGATCCTCAAATTCACGCTTTTTTCCAATTTTCAAAGCTTTCTCATATTGTTCAATTGCCTTTTGAAACTGATTGCTTTCTCTATACGCATCTCCTAACCCAACTAATGCCTCTGTTTCCTGTTCTCTATATTCATGCTCTTTTGCAATTTCCAAAGCTTTCTCATAGTGTTCAATTCCAGTTTGAAACTGATTGTTCCCTCTGTGCGCATGTCCTAACCCAACTAAAGCCTCTGTTTCCTGTTGTTTATATTCATGCTCCGTTGCAATTTCCAAAGCTTTCGTATAGTGTTCAATTGACGTTGAAAACTGATTGTTCAATCTAGAAGCTTTTCCTAAGGAAATGTTTTCATTTGCTTCTTGTTTTTTCTCTCCTTGTTCCTGAGCATGTTTAGAATCTATTTGTTCCATTTTTATAAGCGATTCCTTACCTAATCCAGATTTTTTGTCCAAGTTGATCATCTTTCTCAGCGATTTTGTACCATTTTTATTTGTTTACTCTTGTTGCAAATAACGGAATTTTGGAGCGAATTTTTTACTTTGTCAATCTTTTTTAAAAATTGTTCAAATTCTTTTTCAGATGTACCAATTCTCAAGCATTTTTCGTGTTTCTGAAGAAAAAATGAAACAATAAAAGCAGCATTTTAAGGGCTGTTTATATAAGAGGCGGGACGGGACGTTTGCCGGGACGGGACGATGAACGGGATCCCGGCTTGTATAAATTTCTATTATATTTATCATCAGATACTTATATGGATGCGGGACGTTTTTCGTCCCGTCCCGGGCAAGAGGGATCTCGGTTTGTGCAACCGGAATCCTGCCTCAACCAGGTCGTGTTTTTCCATGTAAACACTTGTTGCCGAGACGGGATGGAAGGAGGGATGATTTTGGTGTATTGATGATTTTGGTGTACTTGGCTTAAACGAACGTTTTAACACCGGTTAAAAAACTCAAATGTTGTTATAGAAGATCTCGTAATTCAAGAAGATTATTATTGCTGCTTGAACAACCTTTCGTGTACAATTATACTGTAATCTATCACTAGAAATATAATGTGATTTTGCTAAATCGTGGACCGTAACATACAGTACATGTGTTTCAATACATCAAAATCATCCCGCCTCACATCTCGTCCTGGCAAAGTGGAATCATGGGATCATGGAATCAACAGTCCCTAAACCGGATTAATAAATCGTCCGGTCCCGGCAAATGTCCCGTGTCCCGCCTCTCATATAAACAGCCCCTATATAAGAGCATATTAACATAAATGCAGGCTCAATTGTAGAAGGATGAAACTGGGGTGGTTTTGCAGAAGGATGGAACTGAGGTGGTTGTACAAAAAGTAGTGGTTGTGATAAAGTTCATAGTTATTAGAGGGGCGGGTGATTAAAAAAAACGCCGCAAATTTCAAAGGGAGATAGTATTATTCACACTTTTGGATATTTGTTTCAATTTAGTTTCTTCTTGAAATGCCTGGTGATGACTGTGCTGTACTTGGTTGTGAGAACGAAATTGGGATCGGCTTTTAACACTTTTTCGTCGAAGCCATTTAATAAAGGACCATGAGGTCTGTTATATAATCGATGTCATATATCCAGATGTACTGCAAATTATTTACACGAAAATACCACCTTTTGTTTCAGCATATAATAACTATTCAAAAAGCATTGTTTTTTTGGCTTGCCATACAGTGCAAACGAATTATTTTGTTGTTATTTACATTGTATTGTAAAGATTATACCTGAAGTTGATCATGCAAACATTATAAAATCTATGATGTCTTTGTTGCCATGTAACTTTTCTTGCTTAAAATGAATCGCAAAAGTGATTGTACCACTTGAAACGGCTTGACAAATGGTATCCACGAGGTTATGAAGACATATGAGATTTTTATAAACACTTTTGTAAATTTTAAATTGGCTAGCGACAACGGAAAATCTGGCAGCAGTTTGTGAATGTTAATTACACCAGCCGAAAAAATACGATAAAAATCTACAGGACTATACTACAAAAACTAGAAAAGAACTAAAACTAAAGAAAACTTAACCTGAAAATATTTCATTAAAAAGTTCCTTAAAATGTTTCAAATAAAAGCCGCTGACATAGCAGAAACACGAAAAATATAATAATAATTTCAGCAAATGCAAACAAAACAAGACCTCGCAGATTTCACGGCTTTCATGCCAAATCCGGCTTCTACAGGGTGTATCAAAAAAAGGTAATCGAAACTTCAGCGCGCTATTATACGTACATGAATTACTCGGCGTATATGAACAATTGGTTTTCATATTCGGAAAGATCAGGCTTTTAGCTATTGAATGACATGCTTTTCATGCCAAGAGGAGAAAAAATAAGCATGTACGAGGTCGATTAAAAATGTTAGTCAAAATCGCATATTTTCACCTCAGTGCCTAATTAAAACAATGGATAACAAAAGAAAAAAGCAATTAATCACGAACGTGTCGTAGCTTAGCTAAGATTTATTCCTACTTAATAACTAGTATACTTATCAGTAGTAAATGCTGACTTGCTGCTTAATTTGACAATATATCAAAAACGGCCTCCTCTTTCCACATTAACAACCCAGTTTAATTAAATATGACAATTTCGTATCCTAACCAATTAATCGTAACTGTAAGCCCAACACTAACTTAATCGTTGTGACTTCATTTTTGTAACTATGAATAAATCCTTGTTTCGGTCACAAATATATTTCTTTGATCTTGACCGTAATCACAAATCAACCCTAACCCTAGCTTTATTGTGCGCGAAACTCTCTCCTCCGCAGAGGCTTTAGTTTTCTTAGGATTTAACTGTTAGTCCATGAGAAAACCATGCAGAGAGCGAGTCAGGGGGGGGGGTCAATGGATTTCATTGTACTTCATGGAGGTTGAGTAGCTTGATGAGCAGTATTCTGAACCAAAACAGTTTTGTTCAATTTTTAGTAGTTATAGAGATATCGCCTTAAAACCAATTTTTCTCTATTTTCGGCCATTTTGGCTAAAAATAAGTCATTTGTTGAATATTTACTGTGTGTTAATGGGATGTTTCATGGATGCTCTGTATATTGTGTATATTAGGGGTGGTCTTCGTCTTTCACGACCACATGTTGAAAGTTCCACCTCTGGCCGCTAGCGGCTACACTAGTCCTATGAAGTTAGGGTATCTGGCACCACCCAAAATATACCCTAGCTTTGCCCTGAGATGTAGCTCTTGCTGCGGGTTATGGGTCCATGGGGGATAGGGGCTTATGTAGAGGAAGACTAGCCCTATAAATCACAACCATAAAATTTTTGCCACCTCACTCGGGTTCTTCGTACGTTAATGTTGTTTTTGTTCATTTATCGCAGAAAATGTCTTAAAAGTATAGAGAAGTATGCTATTATTTTGCAGAGAATCCGCCTTGTAATGATTTTTTTGTTCACTTTTCAACTCCGAGAGTCTTTGAATATCCGGGCTGAACCCTCTCTGGCAGAAGAAACCTGAGGCCATGCTGAGGCCGAGCTAATATGAGCTCGGTTCCAGTCTCACATTATGATCTGGTCGGCACTTGTTTCCATCTACCAAACTGACGTGACGTCATTTTCTCGGCTTTCAATAAAGTATAAAAACTTTGAAAATGAACCTAACCCTGACCATACCTGACCCTAACCCTAAACCTAACCCTGAACCTAACCCTAACCAAATCGAGGGGGAAAATCATCTTTGAAAATCTGAAAAATTGCGTAACGTCAGTTTGGTAGATGGAAACAAGTGAAAACCTTATGATCTAGCTCTATGGTCTCACATCCAAGATGGCGGATGCTGAACAGAATTTCTGCGATTTTTCGCAAAATTCTGCCTTTAAATGCGGTTCCCATCCCGCATACAGAGATGAAAAAGACTATATTAGATTACGGAAATGCAACAAAGAGATAAAACGGCATTTGAATAGTGTGCAAGTGTCACAGACTGCACTAAAAACTGAGATGGAACTTATTGCCTACAGATGTGGATATTTTGATGTGGAATCTCCTGTGCTACAGAATAAAATTATCTGTTCTATGCACAGATATAAACTCGGTCTTAAATGGAACAGACCTAGAGGGTGTTGTCACCCTCTCCATGGCCGATCACAGGGTCGTGCTTATCGTGGTATTGGTCCGGAGATGAGTAAAGACATTATGATGAAGTGGAATACTTTTGTAGCAATAGGATCAGGTAAGAAATAAGTAATGAGTGCTGTGATAGTAAAATAAATATTGACTGAAATTATGTTTATTTTAATGTTTTTTTAAAAGTTTACACTGTACATCCATACAATATGCACCCCTTGACCTATTAGCTATCAATGAAAATAACAGCTTACATAATCTGGGGATGTTAAAATAAATTTTACAGTAGAGAGGCTTGACTGTTGATGTCATATCTGCAATTACTACACTTAACAACAATTATGACAAAAATTTTATGACACAGTTAAAAATAGGTCATTCATAAAATCAATTCTCATGGGTGATGCTTATGTTATTGTACCATATTCATTTCCACTCTTTTTTTTCCTCACAGGTATTTGCAGAGGTTGTGAGAGTACCCACCGGGCAGAAATGAAGAAGATGACTGCTCTAACTCCATCCCATACTTCCACAATGTCATCCTCAAGCACGACCATGTCTGAGGTAAGAAATTTGTGTGATCATGCCCATGAATCTGGATATCAAATGTTCTATCATTATATCATAATATGAAGGAAGTTTAACCTTGGAAACCAAACCCGGTACCTACATTGGGTTTTATTTTTTTACTATGTTGAATGGCATGATGAACCATCTGCTTTCCAGTCACATGCCACTGACCAGTGCAAGAGGCATAAAATTCAACATCAGTAAAATTTGATGGAGACTATTCTACATCTAATGAATTTGTGAATACACACTTCCGACTCAATCCAGAACAGGCCCATTTCATGTCTATGCACATGTGCAGCACGACATCCATGCCTTAAACCTAATCTCAAGCCCTTATTTTTTTGCTGGGAGAGATGAAAAGATACAGTACTGAACAAAATGATATGCTCTGTTTTTTCACAGGCTGAACAACCAAGCATAAGAAAACGGACTGTAGCATTGCCTGCCGCTAGTGCGTCTACATCTCCTCCTGAGAGTGGGTCTGATAAACCGCCCGAAAATGATCCAAGTGTGATTACGACGGGAATGGAAGATAGTGACACTGATACTACCAGAGGTAAGGATTCATAGCTACAGTACCTAACGTGAGGAACAAAAAAATCAAAAATCGTCACGATGCATTGCCTTGTTTGGACCAAAAATTTGATTTAATAGGAGTTTTATACTACCTTGAACTAGTATAGTTATCAAGAAGAGCTAACCAGACCCCTACACAATATATAATAATTTGATTTTAGTAGAAAAACCCTGCCCAGAAATACTGATTTGTTATTAATTTCTCTCCTTTCAGAGTTCTGACTGTGGTAGATCCACCCCCGAAGCAGGGTTTGATGAATCGTACGTACCTACTCCTGCCGCCCCGAGGAACATTCCTCTACAAGCCCTGAATACTTTCCTTGACAGTGGAAATGTCGCTCCAATCAAGGGTCAGCTAATGACATCACCCAGGCAGTGTCACCAAGCTACACGACGTTATTATAAGAGAAAAACCAAAGAAACTTTTGATTTGGTGCTTCATACCATTGCACCGGGGCACGAGAGCGAGTTGATGGAGCTCTAAATTCAACAAGCTGATGAGACCAGTGATTCGGACTCTGACTTGGAAAAGAAACTGGTGAATTGCTACGAAAATGCTGAATCCTCCAACACACAGCTCCAAATTCTATCCATATTGTGTAGAGGACGCACAAAACAGCAGCTACAGGTAATTCTGTGTTTCAGATATTAGCGAGATATTCAGCACTGCAGCATAAAAGTGATTTTTGTGTAACGTTTGTCAATCTTTGTCATTGAGACCTGGTGCTATATTGTTGGTTTCATCACTTTTTTCAGGCTCTTATCCCTGGGCTAACTGTATACAGAATTGACAAAGCCAGAAAACATGAAGTGACTATCGGGGCTGCATTACCACCAGAAATTGTAGAAATACGGAGGAATCGCATGGAAGAAGAAAAAATAGATCACTTTCTGGACTTTGTATCTAGACCAGAGTTTATTCAGGATGTAGCTTATGGGACCAGAAATATCAAATTAAGCTACGGTGAAAAACTGGAAATTCCCAATGTTATCCGTACTGTTGTAGTGTCTAGGATCATTGAACTCTACATAGCCTACTGTGATGAAACCGGCTTTAAACCACTTGGTAGATCCTCGTTATACTCAATTATCCAGGTAAATTGAAATTTTGTGTGTAAAACTCACCTAAGTAAATAT